GCAGAAACTCTCTGCAGCAGTCTGCAGCAACAGAAGATGCAGAGCTGCGGGAGAACCTCAACGACTTGCTGTCCTCGCTGCAGCAGCAGCAGCTAAATGAAGACCTGCAGCTGAACCTGTCTTCCTACCTGGAGCAACTGCAGCAGCAGCAGCAGCAGCAGCAGCAGCAGCAAGAGCAGCAGCGGCGGGTGACAAGGCGCCGGAGGGCTCGATCCACTTCACCTGTACGCGAAGAAAAGGAGCAATTGCCTTGCCGCAGCAGGAGCAGCAGCAGCAGCAACAGGAGCAGCAACAGCAGCAGCCGCAGCAGCAGCAGCAGCGGGAATGAGGGGGCCATACCAACCGACTGCGGGGAGCAGCAGAGACAGGCGCTGCTGCTCTGGCGTAAGCAGGTGCAGCGCAGGAGAAAGCTTTCAGCAGCACTCCGTGCTGCAGATCTCGAGCCCTTGCAGCAGCAGCAGCAGCAGCAGCAGCAACAGCAGCAGCAGCAGCAGGTGCAGCAGTTGCCAGAGGTTGTTACAGTAGGTGTACAGACAGACGGTGAACCTGCACATGCCGAGGCCTCTCCAGAAAAGCAGCAACAGCAGCAGCAGCAGCAGCAGAAGCAGAAGCAGCAGCAGCAGGAGCTCGAGCAGCTGCAGCAGGAGCTTGGGCAGCTGCAGCAGCAGCTGCAGCAGCTGAATCAACTGCAGCAAGAATGGCAGCAAAAGGAACAGGAGTGGCAGACACAGCACGAAGAGCTCAGCAAGGCTAAGGTAACTGTTCTTCTGTTGCTGCTGCTGCTGCTGCTGCTGCTGTTGCTGCTACTGTTTCTGCTGCTGCTGTCTCCCTTAAAGCTTCATGCGGACTATTGTGACTTGCTGCTGCTGCTGCTGCTGTTGCTGTTGCTGTTGCTGCTGCAGGAAGCAGAAAGAGAACGGGCAGAGACGGTGCAGCGGGAGCTGGGTGCGACACGAGTGCTGCTGCTGGAGCAACAGGAAGCAGAGCAGCAGCTGCAGCAGCACATGGAGAAGGAGCAGCAGCAGCTGCAGCAGCAGCTGCAGCAGCAGAGGGAGAAGGAGCAGCAGCAGCTGGAGTTGCAGCGACAAGAGCTGCAGCAGCTGCAGCGCCAACTCGAAGCAGCAGATTCGGAGCTGCAGCAGCAAAAGAAACATTATGAGGCACTCCTCGCGACGCACAACAACCGTGCAGCAGCAGAAGCAGCAGCAGCAGCAGCAGCAGCAGCAGCAGCAGCAGCAGCAGCAGCACATGCGCAGCAGTCGCGTGAGCTGCAGATGGTCTCTGTGGCTGTCCAGACAACGCTTGAGCTGCAGCAGCAGCAGCAGCAGCTTGAGCAGCAGCAGCAAGAGACCCAGACAGAGCTGTCGCTGCTGGAGCCGTTGCTGCAGCAACAACTTGCTCTGCAGCAGCAGCAGCAGCAGCAGGCAGCAAGTGCTGCAGCAGCAGCAGCAGCAGGAC